AGATATTCACACCTTGACCTTCAGATATTCACACCTTGACCTTCAGACATTCACGCCTTGATCTTCAGATATTCACACCTTGACCCTCAGCACAAGCTGGATGAGTTTAGTGCAAAGTGCTGGGCAGCTGGGCTGAGAGTCAGGTCGTCTAAGTCAAGTGATGGCAGCATGGGGCAGGAGACAAGCCCACAGATGGAAGCTTCAGCTGCCATAATGAGGGTGTTGCTCCAGTCTTTTAGGGTGAAGGTTGAAAAACTGAGCCAAAAGGCTAAGATCTCAGTTTACTTGGAATCCATCACCTGTGGTCATGAGGTACTACTGAAGAAATGAGATCCTGGATTCAAACGTGAATTGGGCTTCCGCTGTATGGAGGCCAGGTTCAGCCTTTGAGGTGATCCATCATCTGGAAGGAACTTGGAGTCACATCTCCTCCTGCAGTTCCAATCAAAACGAGTTAGCTGAAGTGGTTTGGACAGCCGATTAGAAAGCTTCCTGGTTGTCTCCCTCTCCTCTGGAGGTGTTTCATGCATGGCCCACTTGGAGCAGGCCCAGAACTCAGGAGAAGGATATTATATGTTCTCTGGCCTGTGACCAAGTTGGGATCCCCAGATGGAAAGTGTATTTGAGAAATATCGCTGGGGACTGACATCAAAAATACAAAAAAGATGGATAGATTTGTATTAATATTCCTTTTTGTCCCTAAAGAAATCCTGAGTTCTCACTCCGACCCTAACAGATGGGAACCTCCGACTGTAACAGAAAAGTTTCTGTCTGCAGACTCCCAGCAGCAGCAGGAAGAAAAGCTCTGTCACTGCAGAGAAAAAGATCAGGAAATTACCGGTTATTTATATCACACTGTAAGAGATAATAATTGTAACATTTTCATTTTCCAATGAACAACCAGATGTGAGCTAACTTTATCTTCGCAATGACAGGAAGTGTATAAATGAAACATTTCTTCACTTCCATCACAGCAACAGTGAGCATCACCTTCTTTTAATTCTCTGTTCAAAGCCCCTCTTCCTCACTCCACTGCAGCGTTCTGCTGTTTGGCTCCTGAGCAACACCAACAGCTTTGAACCCTGCTCCCCAGAGGTTAAACTCCTTTATTCTCTTTCTGTTGTCTTCCTCACTGTCTGCACTGACATCAGCTGTTTGTAAAAAGGAGACGCAGACTGAGATGACTGAGATGACTGAGATGACTGAGGAAGAGTGTTGATTTGGTTCATCTGTTTACTGACGACTTCCTGAAGGTTTTCCAGCTCAGCACATCCATTAATCTTTACCTGCGTCTTTCTTTCCAGGTCACAGGGGTCGGTGGTACCTATCTCCAGCAGTCACTGTGTGAAAATGATTGATTATTATTATTACAAGGACTTAACCCAATCACATCAACTCTTATTGGGGTCCATTGGTTTTATCCTGCTCTAAAACCCTGGGATATAAAGTGATGTCGGAATGGGTGCTGGTGAATGTGTTCCTCCCCATTTGCAAATTTGGAGCAAACCTTTACCATTTGTCTATAGTGGTTGACATTTTCTACCAACTAGGTACAAAACTGTTGTTACTTCTCACCCATGCACCTATAGACCTCAAAAAAGTTGCATGTTTGACTCCTGGCTATGGTCTTTCTGAGTGGAATTTGCGTGTCCTCCCAATGCATGCGTGCATGATTTTTTCCTGGTTTCTTCCCACAATCTAAAAACAAGCATTTTGGGTTATTTGGCTACCCTGAACTGCCATTAGGTGTGAGTTTGATGTTATCTGTGTTGTTCTACTCTGTGTAGCACTGTAGTGGATGGCTGACATGTCCCTGGTGTACCCAAATGTTCACCCAGTCACCACTGGAGAGATATCAGCTACCCAGAGCCCTGGCTAGAAAAAGCAAGTAAGAAAAAATAAATGGATAGATAATTAAACTTGTCCAGATTTATTAGTTAATTTCAAAATTGCACAACAGTAGAATAAACCCTGTACACTAGGTTTAGATACCAAAATGTATCCAAATTGTTGACAAGGTAGACAGGAAACAGACACCTCAGTCTGTTTCCTGTCTACCAACTTTGTATCCTATTTTGTTAGTTTTGTTCCCACCTCAGGGTAAAAAACTAACAAAAACAGGATACAAAGTTGGTAGACATGGATACAAAGAGAGTTGTGGCATAAGGCTTTTTTTTTTAAGCCAAAAGAATCAGTACAAAGTGACTAAAACTGTAAATGATTCATCTGATGGAGGTACATACTGACCTGGGAAGGGGTTTAATGCTGCAATTATAAAATCTTAAGGCTTTGTAATGGTGTCACAAACCAGTCCCTTTTTATGCTACTTTTAGGTGTTCATAAATAACAACTGAGGTCGGTCATGGCCAGCAGAGATGTGAGCTTTCAGAAATGAAAGCATTGTGGAACCAAAAAAGGCATGGAGCTGAGTTGACATGGAGCACGACACATTAACTGTGTACCAGACAACAAAGTCCATGCTCAATAATCCAGGTATACAATCCAACATTTTTCAGTCAGGTCATCTGGACAGTTTATTTTTTTGTGCTGAAACGTTTCGCCTTCGATCCAGAAGGCTTCATCAGTAACCCTAACACTGAACAGCATACACAATATTACTGTTATGCTGTTCAGTGTTAGGAGGGCTGTGATCAGTCTTACATCGGGGAAACTAAACAGCCACTGGCCAAAAGGATGGCCCAGCACAGAAGATCAACATCATCAGGCCAGGACTCGGCGGTCTACACTCATCTCCAGGCCAGCGGTCACTCTTTCAGGGATGAAGATGTTCACATCCTGGACAGAGAGGAACGATGGTTTGAGAGAGGAGTAAAGGAGGCCATCTTTGTGAAAAGAAATCGTCCATCATTAAACAGGGGTGGAGGCCTCCGGGTTCAACTGTCCCCCTCTTACAATGCTGTGATTGCTAGTATCCCTCAGCCCTCTGTGAACAGTAAACAGCCATCAGTGTGCTAATGATCCATTGTTAGGCTGATGGTCCTTCTTCACCATGTGATCAGCTGGTTTTGGTTGTCAGCAGCAAACTGGTTGATCCACTCTGAGAAGGTGCTATTTATAAGACTGAGCTGAAAACAGCACCTCAGACTGAGGAAGTCTTTCGGATGAAAGACGAAACGTTTCTATATTTTTTTGTTTGTTTTGCTTTGTTTTGTTTTTTTGAATGTCCAGAGGACCAGATTGACCTTTTTTAGATTTTTCTACCTGGATTATTGAGCATGCATCAGGATATTAGACAGCCACTTCACATTGACATTTAACACAGTGTGGTTTGATTTAGCATTTCATTGTTCTGTGTTTTTGTTTTTTTAATGCTTTTAATTAATTATTTTTTTTAATCATTAAATTACTCCTATTGATTTTTACTGTTAAGCACTTTGGTAACAGCTGCTGTTTTAAATTTGCTTTATAAATAAATCTGACTTGACTTGATGTCGTTCGAGTCGTTGCACAGATCTATCATCCCTTTATCACATTACTGAGCCACGAAGCTGGCTTACCTTTTCCATGTTGACTGTTTTGCTCTTCTACACAAGTGTACTGCGGTCAAGAAAAAAAATAAAAT